TGTAGAGGGGAGCGGTATAGCGGGGGACGGGGGCTGGGTGCGGTATAGAGGGGAGCGGTATAGCAGGGGACAGGGGCTGGGTGCGGTATAGAGGGGAGCGGTATAGCAGGGGACAGGGGCTGGGTGCGGTATAGAGGGGAGCGGTATAGCAGGGGACAGGGGCTGGGTGCGGTATAGCAGGGGTCTGTGGATGGGCACAGTATAGCAGAGAGCCTGTGATCGGGTACAGTATAGAGGGGAGCAGTATAGCAGGGGACAGGGGCTGGGTGCGGTATAGAGGGGAGCGGTATAGCAGGGGACAGGGGCTGGGTGCGGTATAGAGGGGAGCGGTATAGCAGGGGACAGGGGCTGGGTGCGGTATAGAGGGGAGCGGTATAGCAGGGGACAGGGGCTGGGTGCGGTATAGAGGGGAGCGGTATAGCAGGGGACAGGGGCTGGGTGCGGTATAGAGGGGAGCGGTATAGCAGGGAGCAAGGATGGGTGCAGTATAGCAGGGGACTGGAGTTGGGTATAGTACAGGGGGGAGCAGTATAGCAGGGGACTGGAGTTGGGTATAGTACAGGGGGGAGCAGTATAGCAGGGGACTGGAGTTGGGTATAGTATAGGGGGGAGCAGTATAGCAGGGGTCTGTGGATGGGCACAGCATAGCAGAGGGCCTGTGATCGGGTACAGTATAGAGGGGGAGCGGTATAGCAGGGGAGCGGGGCTGAGCCCCATCCGGCAGGGGAGCAGTATAGCACCTGGGGACGGGCAAGGTGCCCCAGAGGTGTTACAGAGGGGTCCGGGTGCTGCGTGTGCCGAGTTGACGGGCGGATGGTGCCGGCGCTCCCTGCCACCGCAGCCGGTCTCTGCCCTGTCCCGCCCCACGTCCCCGTGGGGCCGCAGGGTGGGGGGACAGGACGATGAGGGTCCGCCTGGGGGGGGTGACAGCGCTGTCCCCGCAGGCCTGCGCAATGCCCCGCGCTGCTGGGACGTCATCCAGCCCCTGCTCTGCGCCGTCTACATGCCCAAGTGCGAGGATGGCCAGGTGGAGCTGCCCAGCCAGACCCTCTGCCAGGCCACCCGGGCGCCCTGCACCATCGTGGAGCGTGAGCGCGGCTGGCCCGACTTCCTCAAGTGCACGCCCGATCGATTCCCCGAGGGATGCCCGGTACGGGGCGGGGGGACACACACGGGGGGGACGGACGACCCGCCGCGCTGCCCCGGGCTCCAAGTCCCCACGGGGCAGTGGGAGCTGGGAAACGCCGACTGTCCCCAGCCCTCCACGGGGAACCGATGTCCAGCCCCGGCAGCCCAGCCTTTGCCGTGGGGGTGCCTCCTCCTCACGGCCCCCCTTCTCCTCCGGCAGAACGAGGTGCAGAACATCAAGTTCAACAGCTCGGGGCAGTGCGAGGCGCCGCTGGTGCGGACGGACAACCCCAAGAGCTGGTACGAGGACGTGGAGGGTTGCGGCATCCAGTGCCAGAACCCGCTGTTCACCGAGAAGGAGCACCGCGAGATGCACGTCTACATCGCCGCCTTCAGCTCCGTCACCATCTTCTGCACCTTCTTCACCCTGGTGAGATGTGGGGGGACACGGGGAGGTGTCCCCAAAAGGGGACCAGGCACCAAGCTGTCCCTTTCTCCCCCGCCACCCGCCAGGCCACGTTCGTCGCCGACTGGAGGAACTCCAACCGCTACCCCGCCGTCATCCTCTTCTACGTCAACGCCTGCTTCTTCGTGGGCAGCATCGGCTGGTTGGCGCAGTTCATGGATGGCGCCCGCGACGAGATCGTGTGCCGGGCCGACGGCACCATGCGGCTGGGGGAACCCACGTATGTGTCACCTTCGTCCCCATCCCACCACGGCCACGTGCCACGAGGTGTCCCCGGGGCCGAGGAGGGCTCTTGGGGGTTTCCTGGCCTCTTGGGAGCATGGAGGATGCTCCACTCTTGGGGCAGGAGAGACCCCCTTCCTCCCCTGTGTCCCCTCGTGGAGGTTGGTGATGCTCCTGTCTCGCCTCCCCCCCGTAGCTCCAACGAGACGCTCTCCTGCGTCATCATCTTCGTCATCGTCTACTACTCGCTGATGTCGGGTGTCATCTGGTTCGTCATGCTGACCTACGCCTGGCACACCTCCTTCAAGGCGCTGGGCACCACCTACCAGCCGCTGCTGGGCAAGACCTCCTACTTCCACCTCATCACCTGGTCCATCCCCTTCGTCCTCACCGTGGCCATCCTGGCCGTGGCGCAGGTAACGGGACCACGATCCCGTGTCCTGGCGGGTCCCTGCCAGGGTGACGTGCGCAGGGAAGGCTGGCCGCAGCCAACTGACCCCCGCCCTCCCCGTCCTCCATCTCTGCCAGGTGGATGGTGACTCTGTCAGCGGCATCTGCTTCGTGGGGTACAAGAACTACCGCTACCGGGCCGGCTTCGTCCTGGCACCCATTGGGCTCGTCCTCATCGTGGGGGGCTATTTCCTCATTCGGGGTAGGTGCGAGCTCGCCCCGGTTGCAGGGACGGGGACACCGTGGGTGTCCCCCCCACCCTGACCACCTCATCCTTCCACCGCAGGGGTCATGACGCTCTTCTCCATCAAGAGCAACCACCCTGGGCTGCTGAGCGAGAAGGCGGCCAGCAAGATCAACGAGACCATGCTGCGGCTGGGTAAGCGGGACTCCGTCGGCACCATTTCCATGGGAATTCGTGTGGGAGCGAGGACATTTTGTCCCCTGAACCCGGACAGCCCCATCCCACCTTCCCGGGGCTGGCTGCAGTGGGGGACAAAGCCGTAGTGACGGTGGCACGGCCCCGGTGCAGCATCTTTGTCCCAGCGTTGCTGGGGTCCGGCTAAGCCAGGGATGTCCCGCTTCTCTTCCAGGCATCTTCGGCTTCTTGGCCTTCGGCTTCGTCTTCATCACTTTTGGCTGCCACTTCTATGACTTCTTCAACCAGGCGGAGTGGGAGCGCAGCTTTCGGGAATACGTCCTGTGAGTGGGATGGGGACAGGAGGGCGAGCGGGACGCTGGTGGCATCCCAGGGCCTCGTGTTTAGCGGGGGACGTTGCAGAGTGGAGAGCCCCGTGTCCCCCGCCAGCACTGCCACCGCATCTCCACTCTGCAGAGCTGCGGGGGCTCAGCCCCGTCATGGGGCGTCGTTGGGTGTCCCCCTCCTTATGGCCACCCTCCTGCGTCTGTCCCCGCAGGTGCGAGGCCAATGTGACCATCGCCACGCAGACCAACAAGCCCATCCCGAACTGCGAGATCAAGAACCGGCCGAGCCTGCTGGTGGAGAAGATCAACCTTTTCGCCATGTTCGGCACCGGCGTCTCCATGAGCACCTGGGTCTGGACCAAGGCCACCCTGCTCATCTGGAGGCGCACCTGGTGCAGGTGGGACCCCGGGGACGTCACCTCAGCTCTGTGGGACCCTTCCTGCCCCATCCAACGTCCTGAGATGTTGGAGGTCGTCCCCAGACTTTTGTCCATCAGCTCAACGAGCTGTGGGCTCGCAGCAGGCAGCGGTTCGGGAATGGGGTGGCTTCTCCCACTTTGCAAGTGTCTTGTGTCCTCTTTGTGGGGCACCTCCATCCCTGGGGGACCCGTCCAACGCAGTCCCCAGCCCTCGGTGCCCCTGTCTGGGGTGGGAGAAGGGAGATGGGGAGGGTCCCCGTGCCCCCAGCTGCGATGCCTGGGGTTGTGTGTCCCCCATGCCTGGGCCGCCCCGTGTCCCTGCTCTGACCCACCGTGTCCCCAGGCTGACGGGGCAGAGCGACGACCAGCCCAAGAGGATCAAGAAGAGCAAGATGATCGCGAAGGCCTTCTCCAAGCGCAAGGAGCTGCTGCGCGACCCGGGCCGGGAGTTGTCCTTCAGCATGCACACCGTCTCGCACGACGGCCCTGTGGGTACGTGCCCGTTGGAGGGGGCCGTCTCGGCAGCACCCCGGGGTCCCCACCGTCCCCCCGCCTTGACCGGGGTTCCCCCGTTGTCCTTGCAGCCGGTTTAGCGTTCGACATCAACGAGCCATCAGCTGACGTGTCCTCGGCTTGGGCCCAGCACGTCACCAAGATGGTGGCCAGGCGAGGGGCTATCCTGCCCCAGGACATCTCGGTGACACCCGTGGCGACGCCTGGCAAGTCCTTGGGGACCGCTTGGGGCATCTCTGGGGGGACGAGCCGGGCTGAGGGGTGGTGGGGATGTGTGGGGAGGCAGAGCCGGGGGGCTGGGGCTGGGGG